TCCACAACCCCCTCACTAGATTCATGGATCAACAAGGTCATCTCCCACACCCCCCTCACTAGATCCATGGATCATCACGATCCTCCCCTCCCTGCGAGGGTGGACCTTGATTTGATCTTTGAAAATCTGAAAGATTTTATTTTCAGTTTTATGCTTTCTTTACCATTTTTCTCGCGAATTTCCAGAGCGGCCCGAAAGACTCGCTTCATTTGTGACTGAGAGGCGTGATAATGGAATAGTTGATGTAGGGAAAAGTGTGGGAGGTGGGATAGTTGATACGGGGGCTAGTGTGGGAGGTGTAAAAGTAATAATGCTGCAGGTGCAGTGTTGGGGGTGGGGGTAGAATGAAATACTAGTGGAGGTTAATGTGGGAGACTGTTATCTGTATATTTTACTTTTTCTTTCTCTTTATTCTCCTTTTCTTCTATTTTCTCTTATTGTTTCCTATTATTATTATTTTTATTTGTATTATTACTGTGTTTTAATCTTGTTTCTCATTATTGTTCATGCCTTTCACATAGTCTTCCTGACTTGAATCATCCTCCTCTCTCAATTTAATACGATTTTAAGTTTGGCGTCACACTTTACATTTGACGCTGATATTTCCATTTTGATGCGCAAGGAATGTTTGGACTGATCTTGTTCTCTCTATTTCATGGTTTTTGACAAAAACTGAAAAAATGGAATCTCTCTCTCTCGTAATATCGGTAAGCATATGCCAAAAAAAAAAAAAATGCAAATCAGCATTACTGGATTAATTTTCTTTGATATACGTTCCAGCTGATTGTAAGAGTTAATGTAAGATTTTTATGTGATGCTGTATATGTTAGGGGACGAAGCTATAAACCTAGTGATGTTGATGTGATCATGGTGATGCTGTTTTTTTTATAACGAAGTTGTGATCTTAGTGATGGTGATGTGATCTTAATTTTTTTTTGTTAGGGAACAAAGCTATGATCTTAGTGATGTGATTTTTATTATTTTTTGTTTGGGAACCAAGCTTTGATCTTAGTGACGTTGATGTGATCTTGGTGATGCTGTTTTTGCTAGGAAACTAAGCAATGATCGTAGTGATGTTTATGTGATCTTAGTGATGCTGTTTGTTATGGAACGAAGCTATTATCTCATGGGTGTTGTGTACATTACGATATTAGGCTATGATAGTGAATCTCTTTGTTATAGAGGAAGTAAAATTCTTTACCATATCAGTAAAGCAAGGTAAGAGTTTAGTCTCTCTGCAATATTAATGAGCAAGCATAGTCAGCATTAAGGCTGTTTGCAGCATTAATGCACCTGTCTGAATAATATTGCACAGATTCTGAGACAGATGAGACTCAATACACGGCTGGGGAATTGCGGAGTTTCTCCGTATTATTCAACCGGAATTGTTAATCAAGTTTTGCAATCCAGTGAATCCGTGTCGAGTCGATGCAACAAAGTCACCAGCTGAGTCCTGAAATTCTGTTTTGTTTGTATCGGGTTACGTGTACACGCGCGTGTACGGACATATGTGCTCGCATCTTAAAGAATTTGGGCACGTTAGGTGTGTATGTGTACTCACCTGTATGTGGTTGCAGGGGTCGATTCACAGCTCTTGACTTCGCCTCTTCTCTTGTCGCTACTAGGTCCACTCCAAGTTCCAAGAGCTTTATCGTACCTCTTCTGAAAGTTGTGTGTACACCTCCCGTTTTGTGTTTTCTAGCTCCTGGCCCCGCCTTTTCAGCTTCATCTATCTGCATTATGGTTCGTGGCCTGAGCTGTATAATTTCTCTTTTCGTCTCCCCTTCACTTTCTTTTCCCATCCCCTTCTCCCCTTCCCTTCTTAATCTTCTCCGCTCTCCTCTTCCCTGTAACTCCCCTCTTCCTCTTCCCTTTACCCTTCCCTCCGTTCTCTCTTCTCCCTCCTATCACCCCTTCCCTCTCTCCCATCCCTCTCTCCCATCCCCTCTTCCCTCTCCCTCCCATCCTCTCTTCTTACCCCTCCCCTTCTATTTCTCCCGCTACATCCCTTGTCTTTCTAACACTTCACACAACAAATTGGACCCTGGACGTGATGCTCTTACTTGCTGCTGCACTTTTAATAAAGTCGTGAGGAGCGTCTCCTTGACGTTAGTGGTCCCGCTGGAGAAGTGTGGAGACCTGACCTCCTCCATCACTACCACTCACTGTGATGTGTGGAGACCTGACCTCCTCCATCACTACCACTCACTGTGATTTGTGGAGACCTGACCTCCTCCATCACTACCACTCACTGTGATGTCTTAGTGGTGGGTATCCATATCGTTGGGCATCAGTATTGCTGGGCAACGATATTGCTGGGTATCAGTATCAATGGGTGTCAGTGACGCTGTGTAGCAGTAACGCTGGGTATCGAAAAAGTTTGACGGCAACGGTATAGTCAAAGATTTTCGAATCGTCCCATCTCAACACTAAAACTAACACCAGTAAATTGGGAACCAGGGATTATCATGATACATCACTGTAGGAAGTACATAAACTACTAAGGAAAGTCGATGAAGTGGATATAAATAAGTTGTTTGTAATGAGCGTAGAAAGAATCAGGAGAATGTTAGAGAGCACTATGTCTGAGGGTATACGTTTACCTTCTATATATCTTTGATGAGTTCCGAGAGCTTTTCTACTCCCAGAGCCCGGCCATGCTCCACGTCATCTGGTGCTTGCATTGTCAACCAGGTTGTTGCTGCTGGTCAGTAAGTGGGACGAGTTGGATGATGTGATGGTAGAAATCGATACACACACACTGACTAGAGTAGGTCTGTGATTCCTAAAATTCAAGGAATTATTTAATCATGTTTTAGGGAGTTAAAAGGCAGGGAGGAGGGTATAATTTGATTCTTGCAGCTACAATAGAAGTGTACTGTCTTTGCTAATAACTCACATGGAGACAAACTCGTAAAAGAAAGTGGTATACAATACACTGGGTTCGTATATTTCGGTCCCCAGTTGAAGCCTCTCTTCTAGTGAAGAGACTTCATTTGGCGTCGAAATATGTTCGAGTTTGTCTTATTACCTAACATAACTAGGTGAGAGTACACTCACAAATGCAATAGTAAATAATAGCAACCTTACTAGCCTCTGTTCTTACCTTTTTTATTTCGAAATTTCATTGCGGCTTTCTGCATTTTTTGACCTATTTGAAATTCTTGATACAATATACATGCCGATATGGGCTGCATGCCATCTTACACTCGAGAATCTTGACCACCATTCGTCAAAATATTTCCATGAATTATTTACCTGTATCTTACCACCTGCTTTCCTCTTCTGTTTTTAGTTCTCTTAGTGATAAATTCCCAAGTCTGTGTGCTTGTCATTTTTTTTTTCAGGAAGATTAAAACTCGGAGTTAATTGGTAGCGACTTGGTGGCAGCGGGCAATTCATTAATTATCTCTGGTGAACGAGGCCTCGTCCTGATTGACTTGAGAGTAACGAGCTGTTTCTGTAGATTGGGTGAGCATTAACAGGTAGCGCCTGTTGTGTTGGAGGGTGGTTAACGATGCCTCCATGTAATTGCCTGCCGAACAAGCGGCGCATTGTTTGGTGATGTAGTGCACGAAATGTGTCTGTATCAGTCATTGCGCGTGGAGGAGGTAGTGGTAATCCTCACGCGCAAAAGACGAAGATATTGCAATAATTCTTCGAATGGAACTGGGTCTGTCCCTCATTAAGGCAGCCAGCCAGTCAGTCAGTTACTCATTTAGTCGGTTCGTCCGTCAGCCAGCCAGCCAGCCAGCCAGCAAGCAAGCCAATCAGTCCGACAGAATGATGGTATTGCACCAGTTGATCTTGTTTTTGTACAACTTCATCTTCCGGTCCTTCGTGGCAGACGTGGTTGGCATTTTAAGAAATTGGATAGGGAGTTTAAGAACAATTTATGTTCATTCTTTGAGTCATTGTTCAGCTGTGTTGGAATGGGACAGAGAATCATGTTTGAAGTTAGTTGGCTAGAGGGCTCTGATGGATGCTGAAAGTATGAAGTGGTGATTAGATTTGAACGCCGAAGCGGGTTTGTGCACCCCATGTATATCCTGTGGACGGTCAGATAGAGGGGTGACTAGTGGTTGGGGAGTAAAGCAGGTGCTCTGATTGGCTTGGAAGTGAAGAAGGGACTACTATAATTGGCTGAGGAATAATGAGTCTCAGTGATTGGCTGAAAGGTGACTAGTGATTGACTGGAAGGTGTCGGCTTCAGTGACTGACTAAAATGGGGTAGCGTCGGTGATTGGCTGGAACGAAGTGGCTTTGGTGATTGGCTGGAAACAGATGACTCCTGTGATTGGCTGGAAACAGATGACTCCTGTGATTGGCTGGAAGAAAGAGACTTTCAGTGATTGGTGAAGGTTATGGCTGCGAGTCGGAAAGGATGCCTTGGGATTGGTTATGTACAAAGAGCTTATTATTGAATGATTGAAAGGATATGTGTACGGGAGCTTGTACATGATTGGACAAGAAAGTGACTAGGGCATCTTGCTAATTGGCCAAAGAATAAAGAGTCGTTGACTGGTTTAAAGAGTGGAATCGAAATGTCGTACTGACAGCGATAGTGTAGAAAAGATACATGTTAAAGAAAGAGCTCTTATTGGGACACTGAATTAAGCCTGAATGCCTTCCACATCCCCCGCCCCCAGGCGCTGTATAATCCTCCGGGTTGAGCGCTTCCCCCTTGATTATAATAATTATTGTGACACTGTTTCGCTCTTTGTTGATGTGTATAAAGTCATGGCTTGATAAAGTTCTGCACAGAGCGAAACATTATCCTCAGCTTGTTCTGCTACTCGAGTTTTCTTACTGGGCTGAAGAGTTAGAGGCTATTGACGGTTTACCTGTAGGTTACATGTAGTTGCTTCTGAGGGTCACGGCTCAGTCCCAAACCAGACCTCTAGTAGCTCGACTAGCCTGTTGGTGCCATCTTGGGATAATTTAATAGTCGCGTAGTTACCATTAAATCAGTATTAATGTTGCACCATGTTGCCTTGCAGGGGGACGAGTGATGGTGGTTGCCAATGTTCCTGAACCCGTGGTATGGTACCCAGCACGGCGGGGGCGGGGCTCCCCTCCTCCACCACCACCACCACCACCACCACAACCAGCTGCAGCACAAGCTGCAGCAGCAGGGGGGCATTAGTGGTCTTAGCTTGCAGCAGCAGCAGGATCGAGCCCACCTGCTGCACCAGCTGCTCGACCACCTTCAAGCCCGCCTTCGCCCCGGCTGGACACTTCACTTCACCAGGGAAGGAAGACTCTACTACTGCAAGTAAGTGCTCTTAGTTTTCCTTCTTCTCCACTCTGTCAAAGTGAAGAAAAAAAGAATTCTGTATTTAATATTCCAGATGTCTACATGCATGCATGAATTGATAATCAAGGTAAGGAAAGTACTGCTGACCCAAGAGGTTAGTCAGTTGAGTAATTTGTAAGATAATAACGAGTATGTGCCAAGCTGAAAGTTACAAATGTATTATGGATTTGTTGACATTGACTCCAATATGGACCAGAGCTAGGTTCTGACATTGGTTGTGTCGATTTGGTAAGTTCATTGGCTGGAGTAAAAATCAGAGCTAGGCTCTGACACACTGGTTATGTTGATTGGGTAGGTTCACTGACAACAGTCAGGATCAGAGCTTGACTCTGACACTGCTTGTACATGTATTGATGGGGCGAGTTCTCCGTAAAAAATTTTGCAGTGGGTCGCAGTTGATGGCCTCTGCTAACCTTACCAGTATACAGTAGGTAACTGATTTGAAAACTCATAGTAGTAGGCACCATAGCCAGGTTGCTTGACCTCGGTTCGAATACCCGCATCTTCCTGGAAAAAATTGTGCAGTATTAAAAATCTTGAAAAGATGAATGTTTTATTATATTTTGATTAAACACGCACAAATATATTTGATTTTTATGGAATTATTGACATTGTTATAATTACTTAATATTATTAATACGATGAATATGGGCAAACAATTTTTTTTTTAATTTCAAGGCTGAAATTGGAACTAAAATATACTTGGATAACCGCGATGGTATTAATGCTAGTGAAAAAAATTAAATATTTTACAAGTATGTACTGTCCTACCTGTGTCTTGTATGATTCTACCTGTGTATTGTATGATTCTACCTGTGTCTTGTATGATTCTACCTGTGACTTGTATGATTCTACCTGTCTTGTATGATTCTACCTGTGTCTTGAATGATTCTACCTGTGTCTTGTATGATTCTACCTGTGTCTTGTATGATTCTACCTGTGTCTTGTATGATTCTACCTGTGTCTTGTATGATTCTACCTGTGACTTGTATGATTCTACCTGTGTCTTGTATGATTCTACCTGTGTCTTGTATGATTCTACCTGTGTCTTGTATGATTCTACCTGTGTCTTGTATGATTCTACCTGTGTCTTGTATGATTCTATCTGTGACTTGTATGGTTCTACCTGTGTCTTGTATGATTCTACCTGTGTCTTGTATGATTCTACCTGTGTCTTGTATGATTCTACCTGTGTCTTGTATGATCCTACCTGTGTCTTGTATGATTCTACCTGTGTCTTGTATGATTCTACCTGTGTCTTGTATGATTCTACCTGTGTCTTGTATGATTCTACCTGTGTCTTGTATGATTCTACCTGTGTCTTGTATGATTCTACCTGTGTCTTGTATGATTCTACCTGTGTATTGTATGATTCTACCTGTGTCTTGTATGATTCTACCTGTGTCTTGTATGATTCTACCTGTGTCTTGTATGATTCTACCTGTGTCTTGTATGATTCTACCTGTGTCTTGTATGATCCTACCTGTGTCTTGTATGATCCTACCTATGTAGTGTATGATCCTACCTATGTAGTGTATGATCCTACCTGTGCAGTGTATGATCCTACGTGTGTCGTGTATGATCCTACCTGTGTCTTGTAGGATCCTGCCTGTGTCTTGTATGATCTTACCTGTGTCTTGTATGATCTTACCTGTGTCTTGTATGATCCTACCTTTGTCGTGTATGATCCTACCTATGTAGTGTATGATCCTACCTGTGCAGTGTATGATCCTGCCTGTGTCGTGTATGATCTTACCTGTGTCTTGTATGATCCTACCTGTGTCTTGTATGATCCTACCTTTGTCGTGTATGATCCTACCTGTGTCTTGTATGATCCTACCCGTGGCGTGTATGATCCTACTCGTGCCGTGTATGATCCTACCCGTGTCGTGTATGATCCTACCTGTGTCTTGTATGGTCCTGTGTCTTGTATGGTCCTGTGTCTTGTATGGTCCTATGTCTTGTATGGTCCTACCTGTGTCGTGTATGATCCTACCTGTCTTGTATGGTCCTACCTGTGTCGTACTCACCTAATTGTACTCACCTAATTGTGGTTGCAGGGGTCGAGACTCGGCTCCTGGCCCCGCCTCTTCACTGATCGCTACTGGATCCTCTCTCTCTCTGCTTCCTGAGCTTTGTCATACCTCTTCTTAAAACTATGTATGGTTCCTGCCTCCACTACTTCACTTGCTAGGCTATTCCACTTGCTGACAACTCTATGGCTGAAGAAATACTTCCTAACGTCCCTGTGACTCGTCTGAGTCTTCAGCTTCCAGTTGTGACCCCTTGTCCCTGTGTCCCCTCTCTGGAACATCCTATCTCTGTCCACCTTGTCTATTCCCCGCAGTATCTTGTATGTCGTTATCATGTCTCCCCTGGACCCTTCTGTCCTCCAGTGCGTCAGTCCGATTTCCCTTAACCTTTCCTCGTACGACATTCCCTTGAGCTCTTGAGCCTTGTTGCAAACCTTTGTACTTTCTCTAACTTCTTGACGTGCTTGACCAGGTGTGGGTTCCAGACTGGTGCTGCATACTCCAGTATGGCCTAACATACACAGTGTACAGTGTCTTGAACGATTCCTTATTAAGGTATCGGAACGCTATTCTCAGGTTTGCCAGGGCACCCGTATGCTGCAGCCGTTATTTGGTTGATGTGTGCCTCCGGTGATGTGCTCGGTGTTATGGTCCCCCCAAGGTCTTTCTCCCTGAGTGAGGTCTGTAGTCTTTGTCCACCTAGCCTATACTCTGTCTGCGGTCTTCTTTGCCCCTCCCCAATCTTCATGACTTTGCATTGGCTGGATTGAATTCGAGAAGCCAGTTACTGGACCACATGTCCAGCCTCTCCAGGTCTCTTTGCAGTCCTGCCTCATCCTCGTCCGATTTAATTCTTTCATCAAATTCACGTCATCTGCGAACAGGGACACTTCAGAGTCTATTCCTTCCATCATGTCGTTCACATATATCAAAAATAGCACTGGTCCTAGAACTGACCCCTGTGGGACCCCGCTCGTAACAGGCGCCCACTGTGATACCTTTTCACGTACCATGACTCGTTGCTGCCTCCCTGTCAGGTATTCCCTTATCCATTGCAGTGCCCTTCCTTTTACGTGTGCCTGATCCTCCAGCTTCTGCACTAATCCTTTGTGGGGAACTGTGTCAAAGGCCTTCCTGCAGTCTAGGAAAACGCAATCTACCCAACCCTCTCTCTCGTGTCTTACTTCTGTTACCTTGTCATAAAACTCCAGGAGGTTTGTGATACAAGATTTGCCTTCCATGAACCCATGCTGGTTTTCATTTATAATCTTGTTCCTTTCCATGTGTGCGACCACTCTCCTCCTGATAATCTTCTCCATGACTTTGCACACAATACATGTCAGAGACACAGGTCTGAAGTTTAGTGCTCTCGTTTTCTGTTCCTTTCTAAAAATGGGACTTCATTAAGCTGTCTCCTCTACTTCTCAGGTGAGTTTGCCCAGTTTCAGGGGAGTGTGTTGGAAGATTGTGTTTAGAGGCACACACAGCATCTCTGCTCCTTCTCTAAGGACCCATGGGGAGATTGTCCGTCCACCCTTTGAGGTGGTCAAGGTCACTTAAGAGCTCTTTCACCTCCTCCCACAGTTGTCGTATGTCATCCAACACTTGTTTGGTATATTCCCCTCTTGGATGTTCCTTCTGTGCTGTCTTCCCACAGCCCTTCCTGTCTCGTACAGATAAAAACTTCCATAAATCTCCTGTTCCAGCTCCTCACATCCTCCTATCATTTCTTGTGAGTTCTCCACCTTCTTACCTTAACTGATCACCTGGTCTTTGACCTGTTGTACTTCCTCCTGATGTGGCTATACAACAGTTTCGGACAGTCTTGATTCTCGAATGCTATGACATTTTCATACGTGTCGCGCAGCCTCCCTCCCTACCTGTGCGTACTCATTCCTGCTCTGCGACTGATCTCCCTATTTCGTGAGTTTCTCTGCCTTCTGTATTTTCCTTCTCTATTGCACTTATGTTTTATGCCTCCTTACACCGTCGGGTGAACCAGGTGCTTGTATCTGGTCATCCCGTTTTACTGTTGCCCTTGGAAAGAACCTTTCACTGTCCTCCTTGCATTTATTTTCTAACATATTCCATCATTTCATTTACTGGCTTTCCTGCTCAGTTCTCTGTCCCACTGGACCTCCCGCAGGAAGTTTTCACCCTATGTAGTCCCCTCTTTTATAGTACAGGCTTTGCCCAGTTCTACTCCTGTTCTATATTCTCTCCACATTGCAGCTCTACTGATGAATCATAAGCTAGCAGAACCACAGTGGATCGCTAGCTCCAAGGTGACTCATACTTGATTTCCAATGTCTGGCTGCCCAGGGTGACACAATGTTCCAATCTGCAGGTTCATCCTCCCCTCTCACTCTGTGTAAGTGCCTATAACATGTTGTGCATGAGGATTTCCAGACACCACGTCCAACATCCTGGCACTCCATGTTTCGGGACCCCCATGTGGCTCCAGGTTTTCCCCAGTCAATCTCCCTGTGGGTTGAAATCCCCCATGCACCAGCAAACTTTGCACAGCTGGAGTGAGCTCTTCTTGCCACCTCAGCAAGAGTGTCCACCATTGCTCTGATGCTCTCTTCATATTCCTCTCTTGGGCCTCCTGCAGTTCTGTGTGGGATTATACATCACAGCAATGACCACTTGTGTTCCCCAGACTGAAGTGTACCTTCTATGTAGCCCTCTTTCTCCCGTCTCATCTATTCCTTCCATTTTCTCGAATTTCCCATCTGTTTTTTTACGAGCAGATCAACCTCCACCTCCCCCCCTGCCCCTTCTATCTTTCCTCATGACTGGTATCCTGGTGGGAAGATTTGCATCGTTGTTATGTCTCCATGAGTTTTGTTTCTGTAACTGCAATGATGTCTGGGGACTTCACTCATTGAGATTTCAATTCTTGCATTCGCTCATTTTATTCGTTAATCCATCTGCAATAGTGTACCAAACCTTCAACTCTGTTCTAATACTGTAACTGTGGTGCGGGGGGGTG